TCAACATCGGGTTCGGTAGCGAGATTGATTTGTTACTCGTAGATGCCTTTGTCTCCAGTTATATGAAATATATTCACTTTTTACATGAATTCTATCGTCCAGAAAAAAAGATTACTGGCTAAGAAAATTACCAAACATTGACTGTACCATATAATCCGGAAAACTCAATTAACCAGAAAGTGCTTATACAAAATTGATTTATTTCCAAAGCCAGATATATATGTTGAACATCGTTAATCTGGGTTTTTCAAAAGTTTAGGAATAACGGTATTTACGTATTAACAAAACCTGTCCGACTTACCATAATCGCAGATCTTAACTACAAGTTTGAACGTTAATACGTAGATTGAGTCTTTTTTCTTAAAATGAAATAAATGTGTCCACGAAAAAGGATATTTTAAAACAAAGTATATGCGATTGTCTGTTTAAGCAGCGCATTTTGGTCCGAAATGACTTAAACTGTGGACGGGCAGTAAAACAATCAAACAAGTATACAAATGGGAATTCGAGGTTTTCCGGATGCTGATCATACCAGATCAACTGTAGCCGAAGAGTTTCACATCGAACACCCGATAACTCGAGCTACATTATGATACCGGTTATTCCGTGACGACGATGATCATTTGCAATATGATGATACTAAGCTTTCAATGTCTCTCCAGACGATAAATAGTTCAAAATAAAATCCGGTAACAAATATAATTTATCAGATCCAGACTTGAAGTATCATCATGATAAAGCTCTAAAAAACGTACTTTCGGGCATAGGAGTGTACTATCATGTACATATTGGGCAAAACTTGAAGCGCCTAATAGCGTCCGGTTGACAGTACTGTTAGTATGTAGTTCGGCGGAGTCCCAACTTCCGCCCATCTCGCGGTGATGCGGTAATGGTTGTTCGTTGCGATCTTGTCTTTTTGCACGTTGAGGGGTTTTCACGATGGCGGTTAAAGCGTCGCGAAACTGCAATACAGTCAACAAACATTGAACTGATATCTGGTGGATAAGATGCTGCGCACAAGCCGTTGATTGGACTTAGCGGGGAAAGGATCCCAAAGGAAACAAGAAATGGATAAGGCTACATAGCACTACCCAAAATAGTCAGATAATGGCCCCATCGTTATGGCGTTACGAGATAGCACTTAGAAATTTTATTGAGACAGTAAAAGAGAGATAAGCCGTAGCTGAGTTTTCTAGCTATCAACACTAGGGGAAGTACTCAAAATTTCCCCTGAAAAGTTCTTTTTCCTTGTAGGCGACAGTGGAGTTAGCATGCGAAGAAATCATAAATCACTAATTCAAGCCAAGATGCACAACAGCATAGGAAATTGCCCTCCAACATGAGCTTGCTCCGGGTTTATTGCGACCCGGGTGACGGTTCCGGTTTGTATTTAGGCCCGTAAACCATACGAGAGAAAAGACAACATTACAAACGCGGGTATAACACAGACTCGAAAAATGCCTATGGGACCTGGCGGTAACATTTATGTATATTAATATTGCAACAGATATGCTTGTTTGTGACGTAGACTAAAGATGTTTAAGTAAACCCAGCCTTCCGTGACTTTTTCTAATGCGTTTTATGTATATTCGTTTTAGTAGCACCAGCAAGGTCGATGTAAGGTTTTTCTCTATACCCAAGCTAGTGACACACTCCAAAGATCAGATAACTTTACTTTCTAGCGATATATTTTATTCTTTGTAGCAAAATGAGACATCGAGGCTGTAAATGAGACAGATTTATAGCAAAGACGGGACCAATGGAATAATGAAACGGAATAATTTTCGCAATTTCTCTTACAGAGACGTCAAAGTAGAGCCATAACGACAGTTTATAGTTGGGAGATAATGGGCGTCAGCCATTAGGCCCTGCTCGTGTGTGTTATCCTATAGGTATTTCGGGGACATCTTACTTGGGTGATCGCCGAGAATTAACATTGTTTATCGATATCTCTCCAGGAAAATCTCCATGGCCTAATTCCATCGGAAAATTTCCTGTACAGAATGCACTTTTTTGTCTTGTTTACCCTTAGACAAACAAGGAAATGAGAATGTATAGCAAGGGACAAAAGTAACTTATGTATTTTAACATATTATCAGATATCATTATTAATTATAGAAGAGCCTACCAAAATGAGAATATAGGATTATGTGAGCTATATGTTTGACATTGGTATCTTGTTGAAGATTTTTTTCTTGAGTAAAGAGCGATCAATCTTGTAAGAGCATTTCTTTTATATGTAAAATTTAAGAACGGGTAGGACAATACAACCCTTCACCGAACCTGAAATCGATAGATTGAAACAGGCAAGCAAAATGCGTGTGTATATTATCAAACAAAAATGCCAAAAAACTTCCAGTAAAAAAAATCTGAAATCTGTTAACGTTATTACATGGTATTTACAATAAGTTTCCTTTGTCTGAAAAAGGACAGTTTTGGTATAACTCCCCTGACAAGTTTTGAATTGATTGTCCATGTACAAAGTACACACTTCCAGTGTAGATGAACATTTCATGTCACGTTTTGTTTCACTAACCGGTGTTTTGCTTGTATTTCTTGTTGACAATGTATGTTTTAAGGGCGTGTATAACATGTTTGGGTGAAAGTGTATATCATATAAATATTACTAAAATTGTGAAATCTACAATTTAAATAGAATTTCTTACATGGCTATGTTCAATATGACATGTTTTGATTGAAATAAACATTTATAACATATGTCAAGTTGTAAAAAATTGAAATGTTCATGTCAGGAAAAGAAACATTGGCGCCGTAATCCTTGTATAATAATATAAACATTGTTCGTTATGCAATCACAAAAATTAACAATGTTTTATTAGCATCTGTAATTCACATTTAAACATGACAAAAAAGTTGTTCTATTCGACATTTTTTTTGTAAAATGTACGTATAATAAATCAAATAAGATGAAATTTAATGAGAATGTTGTCAACTTGCAGTGATGATTGCATGCTTTATAAATAATTAACATCTTATCAATGCCAACACCAGGAAATGATACTTTAAAAATGATTGTCTCAGCTGGCAAAAAAGTGCATTTATTGTCTCCCACCAGATTTTGTTTTGTTATAGAAGTATGTCATAAATTCGTTATTGAAATTCCTGTTCACACAAAAAACGAAATGAGACAGGTACATGTATTTGTGCAATATGATTTCAGATCAAATTTACACGAATTACCTATCCATAAATTGACCGTTAGACCTCGGCAAACACGTGCTATTTTACGCTGTAAATCATAGCATTGTTGTTATTTTGCTTCGGAGAAATCATTTACAAGTATTTGAATTCACAAAAGGAATTAGAAGTACCTCCAACATGTTCCTATAATATTTTTTTTCTATGAAATTTTATACAATCTCGTTTTCATAAAACACAGACAGTATGAGAACGAACATGAGACGTTATCATACTTACTTTGTAACATTACATTTTTTGTTTCATAATTAATTCCCCCCCCCCCCCCCACACGCACACACACACACACAAACACACATCGTAACTTTAGTCAACACTGACGTGACAATGGGCCTTAACACAAATGTTTTATATCAGCTTATGTGATGTTAAAACTTAAAATAGAGTCTTTAACTCCTGTCTATTGAATCATTTTTGTTTATAAAATGGATCTATAGCTCTTTTTAGCAAGTTTCTGTCGATTTTTTTCAAATTTTGTTTTCTCTAATGACTATCAATTCTTCTACGTCGACCTCTTAATCTCATGTGTTTTGTAAATGTGTCGTCACAATGTCATGACGTCATGTTTTTGTCTCAATACTGGCGATGGCGTTACATAAGGTACTGTTATACCGACAATGGACACGTTTGTATACACTATATAACAAGTTGGTTATGTGATAGGTATTGATTTATCACATGACTTGTAGATATTTACTTGTCAGCTTTTCGGAGTTTAAGTGGTCTGAGGAAAATGTAATTTTCTTGAGCACTTAAAGACATTCGTTTTGGTAGGGCTTTTTAATTTGAATTTCACAACATAAAAAAATCAATTTCCATAAATTTTAATTGTATGAAAGTGAAATGTTAAAAATCTGGATAGATCAAAATTTAAATAGTATGATATACGATTACTGTACTGGCAAACTGTTAAATTGTAGACAGCCATTTCCCAAAGTCCTGAATAGAAATAGTTTCCACTTAAAAAACAGAGAACAGTGTTAAACGAACGAGAACGAAGATGATTTGAGCTGATTATATTGAATGTTACAAACTAAAATGACAAACTTTTTTCTGTGTACACACAATGATATCTCGATTTTCTTTACGTCATGAAGCAATCGTATGCAAGCATTAAATGATTTCTCAAAGAGAAAAAAAAAGTTATAATTCTAATGGTATATCTACGTAAACATTAGTTTGTTTACTTGAGCATGAAATTGATTTCACCTGAGCAGAGACTAATTTAGCATGCCACCAAGATAAGTTTATAGCATATCTACAGATCACTCAGGAACATTTTTTTACGGCAATAAAATTCAGTAACTCATACATATTTGTAAACAAACAAAACTGAATTTATATTTCTGTTGAGAAACACCAATAAAATTTAATCATGTTAACCTTATTTATCAATCGTTCCAATTTGGTTTAAACATATTCTAATGCCCTCTGATCAACAACTGTTCAACAAAACTGTGATAGCGACAATACACACATACATCATTGTTACAAATTATTTCGCATACTTTGGTAATAACATGTAATGAACCAATGCTTATTCGGTAAAGATATTTTTTGAACTTTTCAAGAAAAAGCAATAAAGAGATTCTGAACATGTGTTTAACAAACCTTGTCGTATGTTCCTACAGACAGAACGAGAATATACATGTATTTTATAGTGAGAATATTTAAGGTACGGTGAAGTAAGATATTGGGTATAAGTTTATCTGTATATTATTGTATTCAGTATCAAGTATCAATTCTATCCTGTATACTAATGAATAATGTTTCAATTTCAGAAATAATGTGCGGAGCATACGACACCCAAGCACCAAGTTTATACTGTAGGGAAGTAATAAAGGATGGAGTGAAGAATGACAAAATGTCTGTCAACAAAACCCCACAAGAGACAGACAACACACTGTATCATGTTTTTAAAATCATTGACAGTCTAACCGAACGTAAAATGTTCACCTCTCCTAATAAATAATCCTTTTTACTGATGATAACCCCAAACTACTACAAATGACACGTTTAGAACTACAATAAGACAACAGATTTAAGAAAAGGTTGGCCATGGAGAGAACAATATCAAATTGATAAGATGCAAGGTTGTTTTCTACTCCATCTTTGTCCATAGGGATAACATTTGAGCTATTTATATTATACATATAATTTTACTCAGTGATAAAGAAACAATTGTACTTTAGGAAAGATTTTTTTTGTAATACTCTTTGTAAAAGTACGCTAGTTTTCTTTTTATTAATTTTCATATTAAAATGATTTCTCAATAAGGCGTCTTGGTGCCATCTTTTATGAACAATATATATATATATATATAAATGTGACAAAAAATGTCGTCTTTATATGATTTTTTTAAACACTGTGGGCAACGTTTCAACATCACATACACAAGGTCTTGATTACTTTTCATTGGAAGTTCCATGTTCCAAATAGTTATTGTATTCCTTTGCTGTTAAAATAGCAAAAGGGGATTTGTTTCTGTATTTGTTTGATAATTTCGATTAAAACACTGATGCCTACATGTATCGATCTTTTCAACTTTTATTTGTCCCAAGTAATTAATTAAATATCGTCTAATTCAATGTAACGTGACGTTATCGTAGACGACGGTTCTAGCACATTGTATTAGCAGCAAGTAAACTTAGATTTGGATGATGTGCAGGAATTGTTATTGTCAGATTGAAAAAAAACCTAACAGTGTGTAGATATTTGAGATGTGAGTAAGTACAACTGTTATATGTTATGTGTATATTCAGTCTGTTTTTACAAGGAGACCACCATGCCAGTGTACATCAGATGTACATATCTGCCATCAAACGGGGAACGGAAGCAAAATATTAACAATATATATGACATTATTTATAAAATGATAGAAATGATTTTGATTTAAGTATCATATGTGTTGTGCTGATGTTTTCTTTTCCCAACGTTTCTTAATATTTTCCTTTTTCGGTCACATACAAATGGGTTTGACATCCTATCTAAGGCTATCCTTCATCAAAAGCTACATATGACTTGAATTTTCACAGTGTTTTCACAGTTTTATAGAGCAGCAAAATAATATGATAATAGATAGACATGGGAATAAAGAAGTTTCATCTATTAAAGTAGAAATTTCATGAAAAAAAGTCAAAAGTATCAGAACGTAATTCAATCAGTCTATCCTTTTATTTGTGTTGTCAAATTTAAATGGCGTCGACTATTGATGTCTAACAATATACCCCTGAAAACGCTTCAACATTTCCGGAACAATATCATAAAAGTACAAAATACACAAGTTTTTATTCGGTATTGAGTTGTATAATTTCAGGTTAAATTTGATGTAGTGTAGCGATATGGTATAGAACGGGTTTTGTTATATTACTCATAAAAGTAAAATATTAGAATCGAGAAACTCATAAATCACAAGTGGGTGGACTTGGTCATAATTTTACCAGCCCCAGGCAAAATTGAGCTATTAAATTGAATAGATTTAACATATTATTTTTTTCACATCTTAATTTTCTCCAGCTGTTTTGTTGATGAAAGGAAATGAATAGAGCATATCTCATACCTGCCGGTTACGTACCAACAGTCAGTTGATAGGCACAGACTTATAATGGGTAGAACCAAACGGATCGCAAAACCAAATCATTGCTTTTTGTGAAATATTCTAAATCTGTTAAGGTAAACAAAATAATAAAATGGAAAATCGCTTCATCACCATCATAAGTATTGCATATGTAATGATTGTTTGGTAGAGCTATCGTTTACAGAGACATTGACTTTATTAATTCACCCTCCTTCCCCATTCCTTCCCCGATTTGTACTCGCGTCGCCTCTCGTTCTCGCACGAGACAGTATATAGCCAAATGAGGAAGGTAAATATAGATTTATACATGTCGTGGGATAAACTTAAAGAAACAAATGTTTGCTGGGTTTTAATTTCTCGAAACAATAGGTAATAGTCTTAACCGGCTTTCTATGAAATTTGAATTTAATTCACAGAAACATAAAACCAATACAGCATTTGTCCACCCGTCTGTTCTTCCTTCTTTCCATATAATCTGTTCAACATACAAATACTGCAAAAGTTTCTATTTCAATGTTGTTAGCAAAATCACACTTATATCAACCGCGATACCACGTGTTGGTTGTGGTGTTATTGCCCTTATTGTTGATAGCTGGTTTTATTTTACGAAGTATGCCTGTAGCTTTTATACGCAAATCTACAATATTGTGTGATAGAAATTATTTCAATACTGAAAATAATTATCGGTGGATTTGATATTCAAAGAAAATTGATATGGATAAATGAGTATCTTCGGGAATTAAAACGAACATTAATCCTCGAAGAAAATAGATAATTCACAGTATATAATGTCAGACCACAGCTTCGACAATACCGTAAAACAAAAAAGGAGACACATAATAAACCATCCCTACAGCAGCATGAGTAGAAGACTTTCTATTAACCATCCCTACAAAAGCACCAGTAGATGACTTTCTATAAACCATCCCTACAACAGCACCAGTAGATTACTTTCTATTAAACATCCCTACAACAGCATGAGTAGATGACTTTTTATTAACCATCCATAGACAAGCACCAGTAGATGAATTTCTATAAACCATTCCTATAACAGCACCAGTGGATGACTTTCTATAAACCATCCCTACAACATCACCAGTAGATGACTTTCTATGAACCATCCCTACATTAGCACCAGTAGATGACTTTCTATAAACCATCCCTACCATAGCACCAGTAGATGACTTTCTATTAACCATCCCTACAACAGCACCAGTAGATGACTTTCTATTACCCATCCCTACAACAGCACCAGTAGATGACTTTCCATTAACCCTCCCTACAACAGCACCAGTAGAAGACTTTCTATTAAGCATCCCTACAACAGCACCAGTAGATGACTTTCTATAAACCATCCCTACAATAGCACCAGTAGATTACTTTCTATAGACCATCCCTACAACTGCATCAGTAGATGACTTTCAATAAACCATCCCTAGACAAGCACCAGTAGATGACTTTCTATAAACCTTCCCTACAACTGCACCAGTAGATGACTTTCCATACACCATCCATAGACAAGCACCAGTAGATGAATTTCTATAAACCATCCCTACAACAGCACCATTAGATGACTTTTTATAAACCATCCCTACAACAGCACCAGTAGATAACTTTCTATAAACCATTCATACCACACAACCAGTAGATGACTTTCTATTAACCATCCCTACAACAGCACCAGTAGATGACTTTCTATCAACCATCCCTAAAACAGAACCAGTAGATAACTTTCTATAAACCATCCCTACAACAGCACCAGTAGATGACTTCTATAAACCATCCCTACAACAGCACGAGTAGATGACTTTCTATAAACCATCCCTACAACAGCACCAGTAGATGACTTCTATAAACCATCCCTTCAACAGCACCAGTAGATGACTT